TAGGTACGTTTTCTGCAGGCCATTAATTCTATTCGGTTTATGCTCGCCAGATTCTGTTGGGCTAAACATTTATTTATGATGTGCGATACACTGCGATAGGTAGGTAATAGAAAATAGAATTATTAATCACTCGAAACAAATAAATCTATTTATCACGGTTGCATCTTTATTGCACGTAGGTATACATGGAAATAGCATTTATTTAGAATTTATTAGTATCTACCTACGTTCTAAGCCGTCTGTTGAAAAGATAGGTAACATTATAACAATGTATGCAATAAAGTTTGTTATCTTTGATATGTATACGGAACAACACGGTAAAAGCACATTATTGTAACAATCGTTTGTAAATGGCTGGGTTAAATAATATTTAGAGCCTTAACATCTTATCATTACTATAAGCGAAAAGAAAATCTAATATAGTGTATGCATAATTTTACTTAGGTACCACTATAATGCTTGTTAAATCGTATTATTTTATTATTATAATATAATTTTTATTACAATTATAAATTACTTTTGACTCCTAACATTATTTTGAATTAAAATTATATTTCGATATTTAATATTATATGATGTTCCCTCAGAAGTTGATTTCTTTTACTTGTGTAACAGTTTTTTTAATTCTATGAACCATAGTTAATACCAATTTATTTGTAATCCAGTAATTGTTTTGCGTGAGTGGACTTCTGCTATGTTAACAGTGCGGCGTGATAAACAAAGAAAAGTTTGTTATCTTGGTTACTTGGATTGTTACTTTTTTTAAACTGTTATCTTTTTTCTAGGACTACACAGTATTATTTACTTGCATTATAATAATCTCATTTAACATAAAAATTAATAGTATATAAACTAATTGGGTTTAATACATTACCTACTAATTATATTGACACATAATTTGAAAATAAATTAAACTTCCATATTATAATTGTTAAATTTCTTTAACCTTTAGATTTTATATTTATTATTTACTGTATAATTAGCATAAATGCACAATTTACATAATTTTCCGTAAATACAAAATGAGTAAACTATGTATAAATCACTGACACTATTTTTTATTGCCAAAATCGCCAAGGATTTTTTTATATATTTATTATTTATGTTTTATTTTTTTAATGAATCAAACATATATTGGGTTGGGTCGGTATTGGTCATTATTTATTTTAATAGTATTTAAAAATGAATGTTTATAGTGATATATTACAGATATTGGTAATTATAATTATCACATTGCCGATATATAGTTCACAAGTATCTGATATAAAATATATTAAACCGATTTTATCTAAAGGCGATAAACGCATAATAGATATACAATACATATTATATTGATATCGATGTAATTTTATTTATTTAATGCCTGAGGCAAACACAATGTGCCGTCCTTATATAATATATTTTGACAGTCAAAAGTGGGTTGGACTTTAAATGACGTAATCTCGGAGATATTAGTGTCTGATAACCAAACAATATTATGACTACTGATAAGCATCGGACTTAAAAATAAATTCTAAATTCTAAACTAACAGTAGTCGATTATGAATAATAATATTGTGAAACGAAACCAATACCATGGGGCAATCTACGTAAAAATATGTGCCCACTGTCCAATATATTATACGAGCGATAATATAGTGAGCAACGAATTTAATACGTTGTAAGAAAGAACTGTTTTTCATACTGAGTATAAATTGCAGTACTTTCAAATCACATTGAGGGTGTATTGCCTATTTTGATGGGTCTTTATTGTTTTGCGAATGACGGTATAAGAAAACGAAAACGATCGTGTGGCGTCTAATTTAATTTTAAATTGGCAATGAATATAAATGCAATTCAATTTCTATACAAACAAAATGTTATCTTTATTTTGATTTACCTATACTGCTAAGGTTAGTTTCGATAATGTTGGTAATTTTCATCCAAAACTTTGAATACTTATTGACACTATCAAAATATTAAAACAGCACGGATAATCAGTACTCGGACACCACAAAAGGATATATTAATGTAGGTATATTGTATATACCTAATAACTATCACGATAATTATATTGATATAGTACAGTAATCGGGAGCAATATTCCATACTTCCTATATACATTATGTACCTACTCTTAGGAGTTAGGACTCAGATACATGTCCGCATTTATTGACGGCACAAAGTTTCGGAGTAGTTCGTCATAGCATCATCCTGGTTCATGACAGTTTCCATTTCCTATTCAAATTCCTGAATAAATAGTGTTTCCGACGAGGTATTTGTGATATAAGTTTAGGTAAGTAGTTGACTATTTTACCTACCTCCTTAATATTGTATTTTAAAAATCTTTGTTTATTTGATTGCCATGTTAAACTAAATTAAGCTCTGCGTCCTTAATAATCTTAACAACGTAATAAAAATTAGGTACTTACATTAAGATTTAATCCGATCACCCACCCACTCGGCCAACCACTGTGCCCACACGTAACAGTGCAAGATTTCCGTTAAATTAAACATTTTCCGATTTTTCTCTCTACTTTAATATGTTTGTTCAACATTTTTTATCTGTTATAACTTATATGTAAAGTGTTACTTATTGTAAAGTAATATTGGTTTTACATTGGTTAATGACAATAATTTACAACCTTTATAACTACATAAATCATACCTATTATCTAGGTAACATACCATTACCTATAGTATATATTTATAAATCACGAGTACTATTATGTCTTTATAAAATAATTTATCATATAGGTACTCATACATAGCTGGTAGTATATTTCTAACTATACTTCAGTTTATTACTATTACATTTTAGTTGTATGTTACAATACTATATAGTCATATAGGTAATATTATGTATAGGTACACTCGCATACAAAACACATAAAATGTTTATTGCTATTACAGATTTGTTATAATATGCTACAATTTATAGATGCTCGTAAACACGAATTACCTTGAAATAAGAATTAGTTTGAATTCGAATTAAAAATTTTGTTTCAATATCCTTTTCAAACGGTATTTGTTTCGATTTAAGCTTTACAAATTTCTATTTTCTGATCCCGCTCAAATTAATTCAATGCATCATTATCAAGATGTTTAAAAATTACATAATTTATTTATCCATGATATTTAGTAGTATTTTCTAGCCACAAGTGGTTTTCCCAGGACTATGGATTAAACTCATATTGTTTAAACACGATTGATCAATATTATATAAATACATCATATTCAAGAGAAAAAAAACTAACTTCATTCATCATATCGTTGTTTTTAAAGTTTTGTTTTCATTTATTACCAAGAAGCTTGATTCCATTTGAATCGAAGTTAATAATATTTTTTGTTTTATTGTTTCACTATCCTAATGTATTCGTGTTTTTAATATCAGGGAAGATGGATTTAATTAAATTGTTTTTATTGTATTATTAATAAAAATACTTAATAGTGAATAGAAATAATAAATTATATTAGAAAATATGAAATTAAAATCAAACTATAACCACAATATATATCCACTAATTTATCATTATATACTAGGTATATATCATATTGTACTCACGTAATCATTATGATGTGATAACTGACTTAAGACTCTATTTGTGCAATCATCACTCAGTCCATTGTATATTTATAATATAACTATACTACATTTTTACCATTAAATATAATAAAGGAGGACATTATTTCACATAGGACTTTTTTGTATATACCATAAAAAGCTGATTTTTAACAGTTTATTTGAAACCACTTGTTAATTATTAAGTTTATGTTAATACATTTATCGAGTACGTATAATAGTAGTTATTTATCAAATTCTAAATTTAAATTACAATTAATGTCATTAAAATTAAATATGGGGCTATTGCCTACTTATTGAAAATGTATAAAGATAATCTTGGTAGACGTTCCTATAACAGTATAACGCCTTTACATTTTGAAAAAATTATTGGTACTTAAGTCACAAAACTATAATTAGTACAAATGACTTATTAATTCGTAAGTAAATTCAAGTTATAATTAGAGGATTGTATTGAATGATAATCTAAATAGTTAATCCAAGTATCAATTAGTTATATCAATTTAAGTTTAAAATAAAAACTTTATAATCAAAATAATTATATTGATTATTGTCTTACAAATAAATATTGTTAAATGTTATTCGATTGAAAAATTATAGTGATTTAAAGTACCAACTCATTGGTTTTAAGTACTTGAAATCCTGTACAAAGATAAGTTCAAAAACTAAAATAAACTGTATGACATTGAAAAATAAAATGTCTTCTGCTATGGCCGTTGAATAATTTAAATTTATTTCGTCGGATATCATCTTGAATCATGATGATTATATAGTTACTATAGCTGGAAACATGCTTAAAAATGTACTTACAACTATAATATTATAAGTAGTAGTAGTAGTAGTGATACAACGAATCTTACCAATTATGAAAACGTTATCGTTTACATAATAACATTATAATACCGTGCGTTTCCACAAATCATGGTTTTATATTTTTTGTTCCGCCTACTCAACTTTATGATTATATTGTTCATTTGAGGAGAATTGATACGCAATGGAAATATCGATATTTGAATCTAAAGCAAATATTATGCAAATACAAGTCAAATATTATATACTTTTGTATTCAAAGTCATCTCGTCAAATTTGTATTATGTTCGGGGTGTGGCGCGTACCTATATTGGATCCACGATATTATATCGGTATACTTGTATCGATTATGAAGGCGTGGGACTATATAGTTTGTGGCCAGGTCGCAAAGAGTAAAAGAAAAATACGTGAACGACTTAACGGGCGTCTCCGTCTCAACCGGTTATCATGAACGGCGAAACGACCATTGCAAGTCGAGCGGGCCTCGTACGCCAAATGCGCCTGGAAGGGATGCCTCGACAATGTTTTAGCATATAAATACCGTGTCTCGGGTCTCTGTATTCATCAGTTCATTTCTGTACACAGTCATCGAGCATTTCGACTAAACAAACACAAAACAGTCAATAAAATGGCCGCTAAGGTAAGTCACTAAGTCTTATAACACATAATATTATATAACGAAACATTTTTAAAAAATTTATAAATGTGAACAAAAAATTAAAATATGTTTCGATTTTAATTCCGAAATGTTGCTTCACAGTTGATCATCTTCGCCGCATGCGTGGTTTCAGCCATCGCTCAATACCCCGCCCCAGCCTACAAGCCCGCTTACCCCGCCGCTTACCCAGCACCCGCTTACTCAGCACCAAAGGCTTACGCCCCAGAGCCCGCCTACGCCCCGGCCCCATACAACTTCGAATACAGCGTAAACGACCCAACCACCTACGACGTCAAGAGCCAATCCGAATACGCTGACGGCAACGGTTACGTCAAGGGATCCTACAGCCTTTTGGAAGCCGACGGTTCCACCCGCGTCGTCGAATACACCGCCGATGACTACAACGGTTTCAACGCCGAAGTCAAGAAAATCGACGGAGGATACAAGGCCCCATACAGCGCACCGGCCTACAAGCCCGCCTACCCAGCTGCACCAGCTTACCCAGCACCAGCCTACCCAGCACCGGCCTACAAGCCAGCCCCATACAAGCCAGCTTATTAATTCGTCCTCAAACGATGATGATGACGGTGATAATAATAATTATTATTATCGTTCGTAACCATATTATCGTTATACAACATAATGTTATAATATTATCGTTGTTCCGTCTCCTTCCGACTGTACCTAATCAGCTGTTACACGGTTCCACTGTCCTGGAGTCCGCTCACCAGTTGTTTGTATTATTGTCATTGATTCATTTGTTTTTGTTTAAATGATTGTGTACATTACCGTGTAAATAAATCATTCATCATATTCACCAAAAAATCGTTTTGTCTTATTATTATTATTATTATGATTTGTTGGTATTTCAAATAATGAAGTTTATGTGATATCGTGTTGTGTGGAAACTCGGTGAACACGAAATTGCCACTTCGTAATATTATGATGGACATTACGTTGGCGTAAACGAACAAGCTAATTTACAACACCAGTTCGAATACGCTGACGGTCACCCGCACAATCGAGTTGAACAACACTGCTTGTACACCATTCCTAACTTAGACATTATCCGGCACCAGCTTACAAGCTATCTCATTAATATGTATCTACACTATAATTGTAACCACATTCCAAATACCTTCCTGATCTTACAAAGTGCGATTACAAATCTTAAGGTTTTAACAATGTATCGTAGGCTTGTACATTCCCAAGTAAATAAGTAACTGTTATTGCCAAAAAAACAACCTTTTTATTTATCATTATTTTCATATAATGTGATTCTACCATAGAAATAATACAATGTGAAATAATTGATATTTTAAATAAAATGAGATTATCTAAAAAATAATAGGTTTTATAACACTTTATTAACATTGCTTTAAAAGTCTTAATAACCCGACTTTTCTGTTTATTGTCCATTTAAACATTCAAGGTAACAATAAATACCCATACAGTTATTTCGAATTGTTTATTACACAGTTATACTTGTTTGCTTTGTAGTCTTAGATCAGCACGTCACTGAACAAATCTATGCGTAAAGCGTACTAAGCCAACAACTTTGATTGTATGTTCTAGTAACTTTTTAGAAATCGTTTAGGAGACTGAATGGTTTTTACATTTATCAAACGTGTCAGGAAATCCTGTAAAAATATTGCAAATGTATTAAAAAGTAAGCATTAGGTATATATATATATATATATATATACATTGGTCGAAAATGCTGGTTGTATAATCAATGAATGGAAATATATCCGTTATCATTAATCATTATACTTTGGCTAACAGTTGGACTACAGAATTAAAGGCGACAAGAAGAGAAAAATAAAAAATAGTCTTACATATTATAGGTATATACTATATATATATTTTTTTTACATTTATCTTTGCGAGATTGATAAATCGACAACCTCTTCAAGTTAAGTGTCCAACATCGTTTAGTGGTCCTGTACGACAAAATGATGGATCATTTGAAAATGCAGTGTAATACCTACGTGACAAAACAATACCAATTGGATTACTCGTAACACGTCAATCGAACTGATGCATATATTAGTTATTACGAAATGTCGAAAATAAAATATGTTCATTTGAATGAATTCGACTCGAGAATGTTTCTAAATTAGACACAATTAATAGGCCTTTGACCGTTTTGCTTTGATGGCAGCCAGAGGTGGATTTTTGATTAACCTTCAAAAAGTAGAAATTCGAATACATGTATAAAGTAATTACTATAATAACGACCATTCTAATGTCTAGACACAATAAAATTTTTTTCGCTACATAATTATCACAAAATAATAAATATGTAAGCTTACAATATGTTTATGGGATGTAAGTGTTTTTATAAAAACGGGATATGATTTAAAATACACGAACTTGCATAAGAATATAAATTATAATATTTCTGTTCAAAAGTCTTAGCAGATTTGAATATTAATTAATTCATAAACATTACTGAACATTACATTATTAAGATTTATTTTTTAAGACTGAAAATACTGACAAGAATACCAAAATTAAGAGTGGGGCACTACTGCAGTATAATTTCGCTTCGCTTTTCTCGGTGAGTGCTATAATATACATTTGAAAGGAAAAATAATTAAAAACGCACATAAAACAATTTACTTGTTGAGATTTTAATGTTTATTGAATTTATCTAATAATCTATTTGATCTGGATAATAACATGTTATCAAAACTACTACCTAGTACACACTACAAATTGTAACATATAAACATAACCAACACTTATACTTATCAAATTAATTAAAAAAAAAACAATGTACCGAACGGTTAGTTAGCAAGGTTGTTGCCATTACGAACCCGGGTGGTCACCCATCAGGGAACTAGTGTCAGCGGACGTTACTTACTTTCAACCACGTTATGTATTTGATTGTAGCCAAAATGTCGAGTTAAGCCACTAATTATTGTTTAAACCCAACAGTATTATGATAGCTACATTTTTTTTTTTAGAAAACTTATCACGTCTCGTATTAATAAATATAATCAAGTAAAAATTGTTTGGATCAATAATAATCGTACAAGTATTAAGGATATTATTGACTATTAATATAAATTATTTAGATCTGGGTAAATCCAACCTTTAGTAGTTGGTGAAGCAGAAAAAAATTAATATTTTCATTCATATTTTATTTTATAACATACATAATATCATAATATTAGTAGTAACTTAAGTTACCAAATTCCAGATTAATATTAATTTATAATTATGATGATTAGGTTACTTAAATATATTTAGAATTTGGAACTTTAATAATTAATTATGATTAGCATTGTTTTTGTTTCTCATAAATATTTTAAAATTATTAAATATATTTGCTACATAATATGTGTTTTAAGGGGGGGGGGGGGCAAAAAAAAGACCACATATTGAACCACCCTGAATTTTGCTTTATTTTGCTTTAACACATTATTTATCCTCAGATTTAAAATAGCAATAGTATTTACTATTTATCCAAGAAATTAATTTATCATACAGTTTCTCCTAACCAAATAACAAAATATTATAATAATATTAATAACATAGTTTCTAAACGTCTATGCAACATTATTGAACGTACCCACTCGTACACTACATATAGCGTCCGCAATAAACTTATTCAAACGACAACCAGTCATAATACAAGTAAAATGTTTTTATTGAAAACTCTATTCAAAATGTATGTTTTACACGTATTATTACAACACATTGTTCTGTGTTTAATTACAATGGATCCTTGAATACGAATCGTGATTTGCGACGTCCATTAACCGGGATATGGGTTGGCCGAAAACTGAATCATTATAATATCATCGATACATCCATCACTGGCCGCAGCGCAATAAAGAGGTAGGTATAAGGACCTTCTGACCTGTTACCTATTGGATGGGAAACATTCGTTTTGAATGAATTAATAATAGCCAATATTATTATAGGGATCACAATATTATGTTCGATTGTATCAAGAGAAAACTAAAAGTAGGTCATTGTTGGAATATATTAAATCTAATAACTTGAAAGGCATTGTCTCGATGAAATTAACGTAAATCGTTTGTAATATAATTGTTCTGTGGACATCACAGTGAAATTTGGTCGGAAAATATTGTTAGGATGTTGTATCAATTCTCCGTAAGGATGGAAAATCAAGGTGCCGGGAATGAAACGGAAATATTATATCTATTAGGTTTGTTGTTTCAATTCACGTCGCCTTTCTAGTTTCTATCCGAGAGCTAGGCAAATTGGAAATGTGGCGAAGGCCTTTTTAAAATAAATTTACGTATATATTACGTATATATAGGTAATGCCAATTGTTGTAGATGACTGTTTTTTTTTTTACTTCAAAGAAATATATCTCCCAAATTCCAAGTCAAGGGAAAAATAAATACTGTCAAACTAAAATGTATACTTAAAATGTATTTTATAATAATATTATTTATAAAAGATATCAAACTGTACAATTTGGTTTAAGTAATTTAAGTAGGATGTACCTAATACTAGCCAATGGTCCTGTTATCGAGGCTTCAACTTTATAAAAAAAATAATAAAAACAAATAGAAATAATAATATTTTAAGATAATACTATTTATTTTGTTTTATTCAAAATATTATAGGTATTTGATTTTCACATTTTTGTATCATACATTAAGAAAAAAAAAGTTGGTAAGTGGATGATACTCTGCTGTACAGTAGGTTACAAGTGGGTCACTGTAAAATGGATTGTGTTAAATTTGAATTCAATGATATCATATCATTGTATACGAAAAACGATTCTGAGCAGAGACGGTTTGTCAGTCTAGATATTTTATATTGTTATTATATTTTATTATAGCCTTTAAGTTGAATTAATATTATAAATGACAACAAAATAACTAAAATCGTTATTTTTATTTTTATTTGTTTCTATGGTGATAAACAAAGCGTTAGAAATTACTATCCCATTTTTAGCGGTTTCATGTAATTTGTTATCATAATTTGTGGCATTAAATAACTATTGAGAGAATCAAAAAATTGCCTCTTTAAAGTACCATCTTTATCCAATTTGCTAAAAGATAAGATACTATATGTTGAAATCAAAGCACTCTTTCTGGAAGAAATTTTATATACAGGATAAAAAAAAAAAAAAAAACACCATTGTAAAACCACTAGATCCCTCAATCCGCTCAGAATCTAAAAAATTTAAATTAAAAAAAAAAAAGTCTGAGGCACTCGGGGACTCCTGCGGTAAAGCTATGGCATAGCAATTTTGAATCATGTAATTAAAATTATTTATTTTTTTATGATATTAATTCAAGTTACACTTTTTGAGCTCGACGACCGAAAAGAAAATGACAAAATAAGTTTTTTTTGTTGATAATGGTAGTTAAACACCGTACGGAAATATTTTATTTGATAATTTTTTTGCTTAGCAACTGGTTAGACTGTAAATAACAAAAATAATAATAACATCAAAAAAGCGTTCTTAAGGTCACTCTTTTAAAAACTGAAATAACTTAAACATTATTTAATATTGTAAGATAAGGATTATTAATTTTTTTTTGAATTATTATTTTATACAATATAAT